ATAGTTGAAGTTGTTTTATGTTTGTACAAAATGTTTCCAATAGCTAGCATACATTCTTGTAACAGGGTTTTTTTTTGGACTACAGTCCCCAGGATCCCCAAATGGCCATGCTGATTGGGAGATTCTGAGAACTGTAGTCTAAACAAACAAACAAACAAACAGAAAAAAAGCAACATCCCCACATTTTGTAGTTTGGAGTGTAGAATTAGGAAGGGTATTGGTGCAGAAATGGTGTTTTCTTGGTACAGAAATGGTGTTTATTTGGTACAGAATATTAGGAATTCTAACCATTTTACAGGCCACATTCAACCCATCTATTACTGGCACAGCCAAAACATGAATGGTCTCTGTCTTTAATTTATCCACCCATCCTTCTTTCAAAACCAAGACCACAACCCAGAAATGATGAATCCCAAAAACATGAAATGCAAAATAAAATCCTTACCTAGTGCCACCTGAAGAACACTCAAAGCTAATATTATCCATACTGCAATCCTGGGTGCTGCTGGAATTCCATCCATCACGGTTATTGCTAGACATGTGATGATCTGAGAACACCCATCTTCCTTATATAGTCTTCTGAAGAACTTGAAATGTGGCTTATGTGGAACGTAAAGGTGTCGCTTGTAAGTTATAACATCTTCTTTTGAGCCAAAGGTGTGGTATTCTTCATTCATGTCATGTACTTTGTGTTCGATGGAGTGTGTACAAGGGGCAGGGCTTGGCAAAGGGATTAATGTACCCTTTATCTGTTTCATCACAGTTTCTGCATCTGATTACTTTTAAATGTCTTTTCCAAGGTGATTAACTAAGGGAAGTGGATTTACTGAACAGGTAGTGAGCTTTAGGTTCAACAAATGACAAAGAAAGCCTCTTGCAGATTGTCTGCATATAAAGATAATGAGTTAGGGTAATTCGAGACAAATTGTATTACATGATAGAGGAGTGGGGAAAGATTATGTGGGGCAAATACAATAAACAGGTTGTCTCACTTATCCAAAATGCTTGGGACCAGAAGTGTTTTGGATTTTGGATTTTGGTGGGATTTTGGAATACCTATATTTGCATATATGTACATAATGAGATACTTTGGATATGGGACCCATGTCTAGACACAAAATTCATTTATGTTTCATATACACCTTATACACATAGCCTGAAGATAATTTTATACAATATTTTAAATAGTTTTGTGCATGAAAATTTTTTTGTGTGCAACGAACCACTAGAAAGTAAAGGCGTCACTCAGCCACCCATGAAAAAAGTTTTGGGTTTTGGAGTATTTCAGATTTTGGAATTCCAAATAAGGGAGACTCAACCTGTATGTGAATACTGATAGAGTAGAAATGTATTAATGGATGACAATGGATGACAAGTGTCACACAAAGAACAAAAGCTTCTATTTGTGTGCATAGGCTTATGTGGTTTGAATTGTGACAAGAATATAAGTGTATTTCTGTGTAAAGCAATAACGTATTTTACAACATTTATATATTTCCATGTAAAGCAGTAATAATATTACAAGCAGTAGTGGATGATCATGATGATGAAGATGATGATAAAAAAGAGAATGGATAAATGGTGAGAAAGATGTTAACAAATAATAATAATCTGAGAGTAAAAAGAATGTTTCCAGATTTTCTTGTTGTCTCTGAGAAAGGATCTCTCTTGCTACATTGAGACCACCTGCTAAAATGTTTGTCAATTGCTGTTAGATTTTTTTTTGCCTCAATGCTTTTCTGTCAGCAGCATCAATAGCATAAATAAATAATAAGTAAATAGGATTTATGTTTAATCCTCTCACAACCCTTTATATTTATTGTATGCAAACATGTGCAAAACACAATGCTTTTGCCTGAAACTGACTATTTTTCACAATGAGAGATCCTACTGAAATTTCTTTCCCACAAGTCATAAAATGTGGAAAAGTAATCAGATTTTATTTACTATTGTTTTCATATTTGGAAGCTTTTTGGATGAAAATTTCACTCTTTTTGTGCAAAATATTGTTTAAAATCTGAAAATTCTTGCAGTCTTGGCCATACTCTGCCATAAAAGCTTCTGAATATTTAAGCAAATATTTACTTCCTTGCACTTGTCATAAGGGAAACAAATTATTGTGGCAATAATTTTTCCATCTTCATTCTCATCATCCTCATCTCTCTTCACAAATGAAATTGCATATCTTGTTTATTTGTTTGTTTTTTAAAAATATGAATTTCCTGATTGCTAGCTGAAATGACAATTGGGAATTCTTCTGAAGATGCCCTCAAATGTAGAGATGAAGGAGAAGACATCTAATGAGAGGACCTTTTTGGTGGTTACCTACTGATCCTAGAAATTCCTCAGATGCACTTTCTTTTTTAAAAACAGTTAATTTTTTATTCAGTTTTTGTTATGAGGGAAAAATAGACAATGTAGTAAATTAACATGACATCAACCATACACAGAAGAAACTTCAACAAAGAACAATTAACAATAGTATGAGATATAGTTTTGCCAACTGAGTACTAGAGAATATTCTAAATAAATGCTGAAGTGTCATATTGGAGGGGGAATCAAGACACAATGTATCTTTCCATAGGTCCACTTGAACAGCTGGAGGTTGCCATCACAGTGAATGATTGTTAATATATTCAATAAATTTTGACCAGTCATCATAGAATGTCTTTTATCTTGTGTCTATATTAAAGTTTATTGTTGTATAGGAGAGTTTCTCCATTAGCCAAGAGTCCCACACTCTTTCCCACCAATTGTCTATTATTAGATCACCTGATTTCCAACATCTAGCTATTTCTAGATGTGCTGCTACGAAGAAAAAAAAAACAACAAATAAATTTCTGTGTTTCAGATTACTGTTAGCATTAACATAAAGAGCAGGACAGAAATGAATAATTTGATCTGTAATGTGAAATATCTGGTCCAGATTCACAGTCCAGAACTTTTTCACATTGAGGCAATCAAGCCACATATGTTGATATGATCCCCTAGTTCCATAGCCCCTCCAGCAGGATGGTGGAACATTTTTAATCATCCTCAGATCCACTTTCTTGTTGTCTTTATGTGTCAAGTACTTCACATCTTGAGAAGACACAACCCATTAGAAAAGACAATAATACTAGGTAAGGCTGCGGGAAGTAGAAAGAGAGGAAGACCACATACCAGATGGATGGGCTCAATAAAAGAGGTCACGAGTATGAGTTTGCAGGACCGAAATAGAATGGTGGAGGATAAGGGGGCTTGGAGATGTCTTATCCACAGGGTCATCATGAGTTGGGGTTGACTTGAGGGTAGTTAACTACAAACAACAACAAGGCCCAATCTTTTTAGATACACCTCTGTAGGATCATTTAATTTATCTGGTGTGAAGAAGGGGTTGTTTTTCACTGTCTCACACAAAATTTGGTTTTAACAGCCACCTCAGGACCCAACAGGTATGTCTTTAAGCCTTTTTTGTGATTTATGTTCTTTGTGGTTAGACCATCTCAGAGCACTGCAGATGTGTGTGTCCTGTGGTCTGCCCTGCACCCTCTTAGTCTGTGGCCCTGGTTGAAGTGGAAATAAAATAAGATTGTGTGCATGTCTTAGGAGAGGGCACTAAGTTATCCTTGACCTCAGCAAAATGCCTTAAGTTGTCCCCCTACTCTGCTTTTTTCTCTTCCACTGCTGCTCACAAAAGCTACTCCATGGTGAGCAGTGTTTTGTAGAACACCTCAGAGGACACAGTTGTCCACAGGAGGAGAGCAGACATGGTGGTAGCAGCAGTGAGAAGATCCAGCAGTTGCAAGCTGCACACCCTTCTCTTATCTGAATGCCAAGCATGAAGCAAGAGGTTGCATCCTCTATGAGTTCTATGCCAAAGACAGGCTGCATCTTCACTGCAGCAATAATGCAATATGACACCTCTTTAATTATCATGGCTCAACGCTTCTGGGATTTGTATTTTTGTGAGATATTTAGCCTTCTCTGTCAGGCAGTTCTGGTGCCACAACAAACCCCAGATTTCCAGCATTGAGCCAAGGCAGTTAAAGTGGTGTCAAACTTAGAATCATAGAATCATAGAATCATAGAGTTTGAAGAGACAACAAGGGCCATCCAGTCCAACCTGCTGCCATGCAGGAA